TTTGTTTACTACCAAGCCATTTCGTGACCAATGACGTTGTAGCAGGTATACTGCGTTCCAGCTCTATTGGCCGCTGAACTTTGTGAATCGGAATCTAGGAGCGAGTCACTTACCAGACGTTAGCTGGAAGGGATGTCAGCAGGCCGCATACAGTACACTCCAAGTAAAATATCACTACGGTATGTAACACAGGAAAGTCGATTTAACTACACTTCATATCACTAGAAAACGAACTCTGCAGAGAGCATTACATAATTTAATCTACTTCACAACTCTTCGGTCCTCTTCCAATTCTTCCACTCCCCACAGACCATCGCTTTCTGACATATCACTCTATTCATCACTACCGCTGTTGCTGTTCATTCCATTATCTTCAATTATAGTACGTTCAATAGCATATTCGATTATCCCTTCTTTCACATAATAAATTTGTTCTACTTTTGCCACGTGCTGACATACATTCTCCCATTCCTCTAGCCCGATTTCTTCGAATCTCATTTTGTCGTTCTTTGATTAAGACGTCGGTGGTTTGTCTGTCTGAATGTTGTGATACGATGCGTTATCAATGACCAGAAAGGAGATTGCAACGAACACGTGGCATGTTGTTAACAGCACAGTCACAAGGCAACGATTATCAGGCTTCTACACTGATGCACTGACTTAGACTGTACTGACCGACGAAAACTCCTTCCTTCCTTCATTGATTGGTTCGTTTACTGGGCTCTCCCTACAAGGTCAGCGGCCATAATCGGTGGATCCAGTTCTAGCAGTAGGGTTTGGCGAGTTGGCATGTCGTCCATAACATTGTACAGTAACCATGGTGACAGCTACTTCAGGTATTCTTATTGTCGGTTTGTTGTAGAGATTGATTATTTTGCCTGTGACCAAATCGTTCTGTACTCAGTTTCACAGGAATTACTATACAGTAATACAATATTATGAGTTTCCCCGCCTTCTATAACCGTGTGGAGTAAACATGGTGACGGTGTTTTCACATACCATTTGCTCATTTGTTCACATTGGTGTAGGTACATGTACAGGATGCCATCAAGTTTCGACAAATGTAATTTTAGTATCCTTGTGTATGTTACGTATATTTCTGTTGAAACTTTGTAATTGTTATTATTGCATCATAAGGACTGGAACAAGAAAGTAAGAATTATGTGTGAAGTAATTTAAAAATCTGCGGCCGATACGGATTTGAAAGAAACTCAGTTTTGTGACTTGTTTGTTTGTTTGTTGATGATTACGAAGTATTGTCAATAAAACACCATTATTTATCCTTCCCCCAAGCCGAGTCAAAAAACTGTACGGTAGGAAAAATACGTAATGAAAAATGGAATTTGTAAGCCTCTGTTTTTCGTAAGCTTAATCTTAGGTGTTAATTTATATTAATTTATTTTAATAGAAGTTACTTTGCTTCAGTAACTCTAATGTGGTAAGGCAGCATTATCCGTTGAATTAATGAATGAATTCTGCTTTTTTGTTGCACAAACGCGTTAATCTTAAAGTTTTATCAGAACGTGTACACACACAAGCATGAAAAAATGCGAACACGCGGAAGGACAGAAATCTCACATTGTATCTTTCTTTATCCTCTTTACGCTGATCCATCCATTCCCATCTACTCTCTTATTTTTTAACTCTTTTAAAAAGTTGGGTCATTTGGGAGACATTTATTTCTCTTCGCATCTCTTCGTCTTTTTTTTATGTATTTTGTTAAAATTCTCCCCGCGTCACTCCATTTACGCTCCGTCTTCCTTTCTCTGGAACTGAATGGTATTATTTCTCTTGACTATAGATTCTATTCAAGCTTTTTAAATATTAATTTAAGGCCCTCTCGAAGGCAGTAACCGCTCTGGTGTCGCCAGGCGACATACTACTTTGCTTTTACCGTTTGTTCGTTCAGAAGGAAATCTTTTTTCTCCCCACTGTAAGGTTCTTTGCGTATAAAGCTTCAGTTACATAAGAACACGAGATGGGTTTTCACGGATGTGTCTGAATGCCTCGTTTTACGAAACACTTAGCTCTTTTTTATCTGATATGAAACGAACATAATCGTGTATTCGCGAGGTCCACAGGAGGTTGTGAAAGAAATGGACCGTTTTAATTTTTTTTCTTAAAGTTCAAAAGGTTTCATAATACGAAAACAAATGACAATGCAAAATGACTTCTTTAAAAAGTGTGTTTGTAATGATTTATAAATAAAGAAAAACGGATGTAATTGATGTGTGGACCTGTTAGCTGGTTGTGGTAACAAGAGTTCGAGGAATGTAACACGCATAGGACAGACGAAGCAGTTTTAGTCGGCGAACTTGAAAGGAAATGAAAACTTATGAGACGTAGGTGTTGATGGGAGGATACTATTAAAATAAATCTTAAATATTGTGTGAAATTGTTGACTGGAATTGTCCGGTTCAGAATAGGGTACAGTGGCGATCTCGTGTGAATAAGGTAATTAACCTTCGGGTTATCAAGATAAATTTTACTGCTTGGAGTTAGCAGATTTTATATATAGCTATTAATATTAACAGACTTTCGTGAAACGCTTTATGGACATTGTGCCTTTGAAGACTGTCCCAAATCGGTTGTACCCAGTTCGACTCGACCCCCTGCCCATGTCTAGCAAGCCTGAAAGAGGTTTATCGTCTTTTTCCTGCGTAACCAAAAATGTAATTGTACTCAGTCGCTCCAGGCAAGTGTCGGGATAATAAGTTAAATTATGCTACTACCTCTTCCTTGCTTATGCTATCTAACTCCTTATTCATTAATCGTCCTATCATTAAACAATATATAATCTGAGCCACTAACATCATCGTTAAATAAACTAAAAATAAATATAACATACAAGATTTCAGGACGTAATATCAAGTATACCAAGTGTCGATTCACTTCAAAAGTTCGCAGGATCGCCATGTTGTTTTTAATATATTCTTGTTTTAGCCTAACAACCTGTCAATATCTAAACCAATGCAGCGTCGACCGCCATGTTCTTATCATGAGGAAATTAAAGTGCGAAGGTTATGTAACCTCTAATATTTGTACCAAGTTTTATAAATATCTGTCATGTGGTTCAAGCGTTGTTATAAAGGGATAAACATACTTTCATAATAGCACCATAAGCCATTCTTTCATTATTAAATAAGGAGAGTAGGATGAAAATTAATCCGTTATTTGCAATTCACATAGAAACAGAACAAAATCCTCTGTAATCCCTCTGCTGGAAACAGTGGAGCGTGGTTAGTGGGGGGAATATGACAAAGCAAGATCAGTTAATTCGTAGACGCAATTTATGTCAAAAGAGTGTACTCTAATTTGTTACATGGACACAGTATGAAAATTGATTGGTGCAGTTTGTGATTCCTAATTTTAATGCATCTCGCGCTACATACACACACCATCACTCTGTGGCCTGTAGTTACCACGAGCGAGGACCTCTGAGAGGTCAGTAAATTTCTACCAGACTACACTGCTCAACAACCCAGAAGACAGCCAAGTTCGGACTCACCGCTGAGAAAAACTTAAATTCTGCTGAATGAAAATAGTTTCGGTATTTTCGGATATAACACGAAAATCAACATTACCTCACTATCAAGCATTTATTTTAAGAACTGTGTGAACAGAACATATTAACACAGAAGAATAATAAGCGAAAAGTATCGGAGGCTACGCAGGATATAGATGTAGGTTGAGAATTAAAATGTTTTCTTTTCCCTTTTTACACATAAGCTTGTTACCTACGTAATAAAATTACGACATTAAAAACTCTCCTTTGAGGAAACGTAGAAAGCTTCTGGTGTTTGGAGGTTTTATTGGGCCATTTGTTTCTCTTGCCACATTTTATTACCGATCTTGGGGTTAAAACCCAGTACTTGAATGTCGAATGGCAGAGGTCAGCAGCATAGGAGCGTTTGTGATCGGATTCCATGTAGCCGTGGTTTCGTATCTGCACTCTCCGTTACAGAACGGCTTTATTATTTGCACTCTGTAGAGCCTACAAACAATGTCGAATGATATTCCTGGAATCTGTGCCTAAAAGTTAGTTGGTGGCATGGAACCGATAATAGAGAAAAACACATAATTAGTTCTACTAGAGATCGACAGACTATACTCTGATAAGAACATTGGTGTTGTTGTAGTTATTTTTATTATTATTTTCGCAGAATGTTATAGAGCCATAAGCCAAAAAGAAACCTTGTTCCTCAGTTACATTATACAGTACCTCCTGCAAAATACGTTAATATATTTACTATATAATCATGCTCGAGATCATGCTTAAGATATAAGATTTGTGTTCTTTTTTCGCAGAATATTCCACTTTTTTCAGAATTATTATTATTATAATTGATCTCTAAGCTTCGATCTTCTTTTTTTACCGATTCTTTGCGTTCTACAGTCCCCGTCAATCATATTCTCCTTTGTTTGATTACCTTGATAAAATATGGCGAAGAGAGTGAAATATGAGGCCTCTCATTATTCATTGGTCCTCGTTTTCGTGTTAATTCTTCTCATTTAGGAAGAGCTCAGCACAATTTTCAGTATAACTCAAAGTTAATCTGTCTACAAGATTAAAAATTGTGACCGATACTTGAAAAGAAAAATAGAGTAAAACTATAAAAATTGTAACACAACTTAAAAGGCGGTGATATGTTTTCTGTTGTCTCTGTGTTTAATTTACAGACGCAAAAACAGATGTAAGAAAGTAGTTTCCTTAATCTTTGGGTCTTAAATAAAGAATAGCCTTGTGTTACGTCAGCGTTTGTCTAGCAAACTGGACACGTTCGTAAAGAAATCTTGGTTCAATTTAAAAATATATTCTAATTAGTATTTGTTGTTCTCAATTTCGTGAACACATTTCTCTCTGAAGCTATTAGCTTGACTTCCTTTGTAAACAGAAATACTCATCATAACGGAAATTGAACTGATGTTATGGTAATTTTTATCAAAACAAAGTGTGATCTACCTTCAGCTAACGATTCTTTCTTGTTTTCTGTTTTCAGTTTTCCGGACGATGAAGTTGTAAACTAGTGTTGTGGTTGTCATTCTGGATGGTATTTGGAGTGATGGAAAACTTGTGGATATTTCTGATTCTAGCAATTGGTGAGTGAAATTTATTTACTATATAATCTATAAAAGCCCCTACCTGACTCGATGGGAGAGAAAGAATGTCTTCACGAAATTTTACTTTAGAATTTATATTAAAACCGTAATTTTTTGTGCTATGTACGACTTGCAGTTATGTTATTTTAATTTGATTTTGAATATTGCCAACATTCATTTTAGGTGTCGGAATTAGTGTAGAAACACTAAATCCGCAATTGCAAGCCAGTCGAGGAGAGTAACTTATGGCCAATTTGTTTTTTTAATTTGTGTACGTGAGGAGACGTAGCAAGCCACAAATTTTAGAAATTGTCTAGGAAAATCTATCTTTTAGTTCGAGTGGAGTATATGTTTAAAATTTTAGTGTACTACAATTGTTAATGCTAAATCGAGGATTTCGTTTCCTATAAAGCTATGAGAATTTTAACCACCTTATTAACATGCCATGAATTTTAAGGTGGTCATTAGTAGGCGTATTTTGAGGGAGATTCTACGAGTAAGCTTCTCACAGATTCATTGTAACATACATTCCAATTTAAATTAGAGAAACTGATGTGGAATTATTCATAACGTTTTTTATAAGGTTTCCATATGGCACGTAAGCGTCTTCTGGATATCCTACATTCATTCTGTAGTTATCTGTAACAAGGAATTTCAAATGCGTATCGAAAATTAATTTTAAGTGTAGATATAAATTTCGTTATCTGTCGCTTCTCAAATAATAGTGACCAAACTATGGACCAATGTGGATAAGATTAAGCGTAGTAGACGTATACCATTTTTATGGAGTAATTTATTTTGGTTTAGTTGATATAAATGCATTTTTGTACGTTACTTTGCAGGAAGTTTTAAAATTGAAGTCAGTGGGCGGTGGGTTTGTTCATTCTTCATCTCCGAAACTACAGAATGAATGTCGATAACAGGGCTTGTTTGTTGGTTCCAACTGAAAGTTGTGGTTCGAATTTTATTTTTCAGCTTAATAGTAAAGAATTAAACCCTCACTTCACACGAAGCTTAAATCAGAAACTGCTTGTCATGCAACCAATAATTATTTAATAGGAATAATAAATTAATTTAAATTATAACATTTAATGCAGACGTTTATCGATATAACGTGGTAACGAATCTACGAGATTTATGAAAGTATGGAAATTTCTTGACTACCTGAGCTAACTGTTGCCTTCTTAAGAAGGACACTGTTTTATAGAGTTGAATCTGAAATATTGCATTATTTTGTTCTTCGTTGAACGTAAATTATTTAAAATGCCACTGTAACATGAAATTAATGACTAATCACGGAAGATGTGTAAAACAATCAACTTTTAAATATCTTCATAGTCCACAACCGGATATGAGCTATTGCATTTAAAGTGTCAGAGTTTCTTTACAAATGGAGACAATGAAATGAGAGTCCAGGACATGCTGTGCTATGGGTGGCAGGTTATCACCTCTAGTTTATCAATATTTTGTGTGCCGCGGGCTGCATGTGATGGCAGGCGACCTAACGAATATAATATTATACTCGTCGCACAAGGCAGATTAGCATAAATTCAATTTATACGCAGATTAGCATCATCACATGTTATTGCATGGGCGCTCAAACCCTTTCGCGGGGTTGGGAAGTGTGTGAAACGGAATTTGCCAGAATACTCCTCCTAGTGAGCTCTGGTCTTTCAAATGGTTTAGTCACTAGGATTGCATTTGGGAGAGAATTTTTACGTTGCTGAACGCATTTAGAGTGAACAAACGTGGATTGTACTTATTTTCGCTCTAACAGTCAAGGAGGAATACATCCAGGATTTTGATTTATTTTGGAAGACTGTTCTATGCCCTTTTAAGGGTACTGAATGAATGCTGCGCCGGACATGTTTGTCTGTCTGTACGCCCATTCGTGTGGTTAATTTACAAAATAACAACGTATTTTAAGAACGTGGTGTGATAATTTACGCCATAAAGCCCCCGGGTGAATGATTGACGTTTGATAATGTAGATTCGTTGTAAGGTAAACGATAATTTAACCGGAGTTCAATTAGCATTTGGTAAATATAAAATAATTGGCCGGTTAGTTACTTAGTTAATTTGTTATGTATCTAAATACTTCATTTACTTCTTAGGTATTTAGGTTATTAGTTAAACATGATAAATCATAATCGGTGTGATATAATATGCAGTTTAAGGCTTCAATGCTTACTTGTGCTTTATTTAAAGGGTCGCGGATCTCACAGAAAACGTCCCAATAACTTATTAGGGATTATTTTT